TGTGTGTGTGTGTGTGTGTGTGTGTGTGTGTGTGTGTGTGTGTGTGTTAAAGCCAGAAAAAAAAGGTCTCTAAAAAGAGAATAGTGAACAACAAACAGGAGATGCTTCGTACCACTTAGGAGCAGTGGGCTCTTTACCCAACCCACACTGTCTAAGGCCCTTAACTTAAATAGTGTGCGTGTACATTTGAGTGGGTGGGAGTCCCTGAAAGAGAGGTGCAGTAAGAGAAAAAGTGTTTCGAAGCCAAAAATAAATCTCCAAACTGAAATGAGGCTTTCTCTCTCCAGTGAACCTTTTTTCGATTTGCCCTTTTATGACTTTCAACCCGGGCGAATACAAGTATGCGTCTTGAATCTCAGGCCCCGTGTCTGTCTCTCTTCAGTGGGAAGAATGAAAGAAGTGCGCCCTTTCCCCCGTCTGAAGTGTTCCCTCTGATGCTTACCTGCCCCCTTCACCTTGGGTGGTGTCCAGACGTCCGTCCACCTGACTAAACATCTCTCTCTCTCTCTCTCTCTCTCTGTATGTGTTTCTTTCAGAACAATCAGGACAATCAGACAACTCAAACCAGCAAGGAGACACAGATGTCAAGCCCCCGCCAAATGGTGAGTTTGTCCCGTTTGCGCACGCCTTTTAAGAATGTGTTGACCTACGAGCCGTCTCACCTATACAGATGCTAACAAACATGCACCTACTGTATACACACACACACACAAGCAGGCCTCTGTGTGTGCGAGTGCGTCCCGGCAGAGTTGGGTCTAAGTTTATTATGGTAAGGAGACCCGATAGTACCGTAGCATGGGGGGGGGGAGGCTGCGCTGGGATTGCGGCGGGCCGCTCATAAATCACACTGACGTTATTGGAAGATGGGAACCACATGGCTGCCGCCGAGTGCTGACCTCATGCGCCGTCCCCGCTGCGGTTCTAACCCCGGACGGGGATGAAGCGGAAGGAGAAGGGGAGAGATGGAGAAAAGTGAAGGGAGGAGGGTTGAAAAGAAAAAAGATGGGAGGTGAGGAAGAGGGAAGTGTCGGACGGATGGAGAGAGGGATGAAAAGGAGGAGGAAGGGTGTGGATTTAGACTTCAGACAACCCCGGAGCTTAGGATGCATACACACACCACATAGCACGGGGTATTATGGATGTGGATATTATGGAGCACGGGTAAACAGAGTTAACTCAGGGAGGCTAACGAAACTTCAGCACAGCGCTCACACAAAGTCCTGCAGGACCACAAACGTACCACCGACATTATTTTGAAAGTCAACATTGAGACTGAGGGGTGTGTACTTTTGTACTTCTACCCTTGTGAGAACGTAGTTTTGTGGGTAATTTTGACAATTCTTTATTTTGGGAAATTTTAGCTAGCTAGCTAATTTGTAGGTATTCAAAATAGGTTTAAGAAAATACTTGGGAACAAGTTTAGGATTGAGATATCTGCCTTCTCTCCAATATAATAAAACTAGACGGTACTCTGCTTGTGGTGCTCAAAGCGCCACTGTCTCGTTCCAGGAATCACGAGCCGGTTACTCAAGATGATCTACAGACCATGTTGTGAGCAGTTACATGTTGGAGCAATTTGTTTTTCAACCGAACTATACACCGCAAACCGTAATCACCGTGCAGAAGGAAACATGCATCCATTCATGGACGAGAGGCTCGTGGCAGCGCGAGATTTCAACATATATGGCCTATACCTGTCCTGAGCTGTAACGTTAGCTAGCTCAGTGTTTAGCTAGTACAGTGGTTAGCTAGCTCAGTGGTTAGCTAGCTCAGTGGTTTTGTTAGCTCAGTGGTTTTGTTAGCTCAGTGGTTAGTTAGCTCAGTGGTTTTGTTAGCTCAGTGGTTAGTTAGCTCAGTGGTTTTGTTAGCTCAGTGGTTTTGTTAGCTCAGGCGTTAGTTAGCTTAGTGGTTAGCTAGATCTGGGGTTAGCTAGATCTGGGGTTACCTGCGTGAAACTGCTCACAACAGGGTCTGCAAAGAGCCAATCCTGTTGAGTTTTTCAAATGTAGTGCTGTGAGCACCAAAAGCCAAGTGCCATCTTGTCCTATTATATTGGAGCGAAGGCAGACGCCTCTACAAACGATACCTCCATCACTCGGCAACTCACACCAAAACAATCCAGATTGATAAATAGCACTATAGATAAGATGAAGAATATGTATTTTTTTTTTATTTTGGGGTGAACCGTTCCTTTTATATCTGGCTACACAGTTTGCCTGTTTACAAGCTGTCTGAATGTCGTACAGCTCTGATTGAGCCGACGGACAAAGATGTGAAATTAACACCCAAGTTGTAATAAACCAGAATTTTCCTTTTTAAGTTTTATGTTACAGTATAAAAGAAACTAAAATCAGCCTGTTGAATCTTACAGAAAACACATGGTCCCACTGGATGACACCGGCACTGTCAAGCTTTTCCATACATGTGTTTTTCAGCTCCCTCTGCATGTGTATATATATATATGTGAGTGTGTGTGTGTGTGTCCTGATCCGTGTCCACATGTCATGTTTTTTAAGTTTGGTACATGCAGTGCGCTCTCTCACACACTCCTCTCTCCCTCTCTCTTCTTCCCAGGCCACTTGAGTTTCCAGGACTGCTTTGTGACTTCTGGGGTGTGGAACGTAGCCGAGTTGGTCCGTGTGTCACAGAGTGAGTCACGGCTATAATTTCCCGTCCGTCCGTCCCCACCCAGACGCACTTGCCCTGTCATTCCTCGTACACTTCAGATGGTCTCTTTCTTGTAACACCTTAACGGTGAAAATCACATATAACAGCATCCCTCCTACACCAAGTAGCATTTAAAGCATAAGGCTGGTGTGATTCTGTGTTTTTCATATTGTTATATATGAACAATGATGAAGTGTTGTCTGTGTTTCCAGAGCCTAATACATCTTATTCCTCTGGGCTCTAGAGCTCTATCGTTATCCAAAACCATTTAATGAGCCACATTATTGCTCTAGATGTCATGTTTACCAATGCACACACACACTGGAGTTTATTTTGTCTCGGTCCCACATACATTGTTCCGCTGCTGCTGGAAATATTCACCAGAGCACCAAATGTTTTTTCATCCGCAGCTGAAAATAGTTCCCAACAAATGTACTATTTATTCCTGTTTGAGTGATGTTTGCTAAAAGCTCCAGTGGCCAGCTGCTGTAGGTCACCACTGAGGCTTTTTCAAAACTTTACGTATATATTTTTGACCTGTTTCTTAATGATTGACATCTTCAGTAGAAACCAAGCGGGCTGAGAGCCACAGCAGACTGGGGAAGTCAGAAAGCGTTGAGAAATGGCAGGAGCGCCGCTGTTATTTAACATTTTTCAGAGGCTACTCCACAAAAAAAACAAAGACGAGGGCTTTGACCCAGTCTGAAGCTTTTGGTTCGATCATAAGGAGCAGCCTGGTGGCAGGAAACAAAAGTCACCAAAGTTATTGCGATTCATCCTGAGTGGAGCATGAACACGTTTTTCATTGTTGTTGAGACATTTCACACAAAACTAGCGATGTCCCGATTATCCCGGCACAAATAATTATGATTTAAGATATTGCCCCAATTAAAATCATAATATTCATAGAATATGCACTTAAAATGTATGGACTGGAATCACTACAACTTACATTTTGATAAAAAATATATATACTTTCCCTGCGTCACAGACAGCACACGGTGAAAAACAATCTTAAATGAGGTAATCATAAATCATAAGTTCCCTCTGTATAATTAAAAATATTAAATATAAAAATTAAAGCGAGCCTGCTCTTTCTTAATGACATGATAATTCCTGTATTTTTTTAATCAAGCTCGATCTCTCCGTTCTCTACCATGATAGCGAGCTAGACAGCTCAAGTCACTCCTGTGTGGATAGTCCCGATTATCCTGATTATGTAAATTCACCACGATCAACTCTACTGTGAGGGTTTTTGATGGCGTTCCACAATAAAAATGATCCTACATTGTCCCATCTCTACTTAAAACGATAAATGTGAACCTCAGGGTTTTGCTCGTGGAACACAAAAATCACGAGGATACATCATCTGGGGACCACGAATGCCTGTCATCCACTAGTTGATATTTCAGTCCGGACCAAAAGGGT